ATAAAAAGCCATTTTTATTTATTTAAACTTTATGATTCTAAAACTGTAATTCTATTACAGTTTGGAGTAGTGTGATATGCAGATTATTCAGTGCCTTACTCTTTTTTCCTCTAATATACCCATGACCTGTTTTATTATGTATCAGCATTCCTACCAGAATCTACGGGCAAAAAATTTAAATAATCTCTAAAAGCACAAGTAACGTTTACTGAATGCTTTCTACATGGAAGACTCAGATTAAGATATACTGACACAACAGAAATAACTAAAGTTCAGTAAATCAGAACAGTTATTTATACTGTAAGTATAATACTTAATACTAGGATTCAAATACAAGCAAGTCTTGCGCCAAAGCCTATGTTGTCCTTTACTGTCCAAATAAAAGATCTGGGAAAAGATAAAAAAGCGCTATAGTTTGGGTTACTATCAAGAGATTTTAAGGGAAGTGATACCTTAGTACTTGTTATGGTTTGTGTCTGGATGTTTCCCCCAAAGCCTCATTTGGTCATGGGGGGCTTTCAAAGGCAGCTGAATCTAGTCTGTGATCTTCATTGTCTAGTGCTGGGACTGGCGGTTTGAGTGCTGCACTTGCCCTGGGGCGGGTAACCTTCACACAATATCAGGGAGGGAAAGAGGCTTGCTCCTCCCTTGCACTTTCACCCTTTTGTTCTTGATACTTCTATCTTCTGCTGCTTGAAGTGTTGCCCCTGTGCCCTGCCACCCTACCTAGGAGCCAGCAGATTATGGATGAAAGCTCCACAAACTGTGAGCTAAATAAATCTTTCCTTCCTTTATTTTGGGTGTTTTGTCTCAGCAACAAGAGAAAAGTAACCAAGATAGCACTCAAATCACCCAATGATGCGGCCATTTTCCGTATGTGGCGATAAAGCACTACTGAAACGTAGCTAGTCCAAACTGAAATGTGCGATAAATGTAAAATACGCAATTGTGAAAATTTAATATTAAGAATATAAGCCAATTCATTAATAATTTTTTTGTGGGTCAATGTTAAAAGATAATATTTTGAGTACATAAGATTAATAAAATGGGTTTTCTAATGTGACTACCAAAATATTTATAATCACACATTTGGCTCCCATTATATTCCTACTGAACACAACATTATACAAGAGAGACACCAGAGTTTATAGAATGATTCTAATCCAATCTTTGTCACTTTGTTACCATAGGAAAAATCATTAGATTATCAGTTTTTATTTTAGAAAAAATAAGAGTTTAAAATCACTCTGGAAACCTAGTACACAGATTTCTGTTCCTGTATTTGTCACATTCCCATCAGTGGGATAAAATATTCAGTGCCCACAACTTAAAGTAGGAGAGGTTTATTTGGCTCACAGTTTTAGACAGCTCAGTCCACTGATGGTTGGCTCAAGACAGAGGCATGATAGAATACACAACCCATGACAGCCAGCAAACAGAAAAGAAAAAGGGAGAAGCCAGAGCAGAATATACCCTTCCAAGTCATGATCCCAGTAATCTACTTCCTCTAACTAGGCCCTATCTCCTAACAACGCACTCAGGCATGTACTCATATGGATTAATCCAATGATGAGTAGGGCACATCACCTTGACACAATGACCTTCCAAAAACCTTACCTCTGAACATATGAGATTTTTGGAAGTCATTTTAGATCTAAACCATAACAGTGCCTAAATTTATTTTCCACTAAAAAATATAGAGGTGACCACCTTGGAGAAATGACTGACACAAGAGATGGGACAGGTAAAGTACATGAACCTGGAACATCCTGTTGTTGTAAAAACAAAAACAAAATTCACACACTTAATAAGGTTCCCATCAACAAAATCTGACATAATTTGAGACTCAAATAACTGAATAACTAAACAATAAATAATGGAGAAGATTACAGATGTCAACTTCTAACAACTACAGAAAGAATAAAGTTAGATAATCATTGATGGATGCTACACCTTTTGGGAGAAATTTTGGTGGGACTATGACAACATTCTGTTCTTCAAAGTATATGTCTATAAACTGAATATTAATTACAAAGAAGCAAATAGCTTTTAGGGAGAAATACATTTTAATTTTCAAAGGTGACATCATTGGGACAAACCAACATCATGAGCCTAACGATATGATGTACTGAGAAGAGCAGACTATCTCTTCAAGTGAAATTTCTGCCAAACCTATAGTCAACCTAATTGTGAGGAAATAAATTCAAATTGAGGGACAGGCTACAAAACAATTGTCCTATACTTTTCAAAAATGCCAACATCCAGAAATAGGCGAGGGAATATTGCCCAAAAACCGCCCCCCAAAACAACAAACAAACAAACAAAAAACTAAGTATGATCAAATGTAGTGCACAGTCTTAGAGTGGATAATGAATTAGGAGTAGGGTGTGAAGATTTTAGACTAAATAAATGAACAGACAAAATCTGAAGATGGATCATAAACTAGATAGTAATATGTCAATACTAAATCTGTTGATTTTAAATTTCTACACTGGTTAGATAAAACGAAGTCCTTATTTTTAGAAAAATACACACTGAAAAGATAGGAGTAAACAGGTAGGATGTCTTCAAATTACTCTCAAATTGTTCAAAAATATGTATATGAAAATAGAGCAAGAATGATAAATCAAATATAACAAAATATAAAACAACGTGGATTATGGTGAACATGGTTAAAGGGATATAGAAATTCCTTATACTATTTTTACATTTTTGTAAGGTGAAAATTACATCAAAATATTTTTTTTAAAAGAATTTCCCTACCAGGGCAGGAGATTTAGCTTAGTGGTACAAGTGCCTGCCTGGTGAACCTGAGTTCCACCCCCAGTACAAAAAAAAGCCTATCACTAAGTTTTTAAAAAATTGGCTTTTCTCTCCTAATAGGCCATAGAAGGCAGATATTTTAAAATGTACTAATGTATTTTTTTACTTTGTTTTTATAATTCATCAGATAGCAATTATACTTTTAATTAGATCCAGGATTGTATCTATTACTCTTCAATATCATTTTGAGTGCTAACCATAAGCACTCAAAACAGTTGTAAAATGAGTGCACTCAAAATTAAGGCATAGTTTAGGATTACAGAAAAAATAAAATTACAAAAAGCACTTAATTGTAAATAGAGCTACAAAACTAGAAACTAGAGAAACAAAACTAGAAAAAAAGAGTTTCTCCAATTAAAACAAAAGCCAAGAATGAATAAGACAACTAACGAGTCAAAAATCTGAAACAGGTTCTATAAATATGGATATGGTAAACATCTTTTTTATATGAAATATTTTCATCTTTTCAACCAAGTGCAGTATTAAGTAGTCATTCACAACTAAAACAACATTCTTCCGGATAAAATTTGAGTGTAAATTATCCAGTTATATATATCCAAAATGAATCCAATTAAAGAGTTAAGCTAAGAACTGGGATTCCAAATTTCACTAGGGTCCCAGTACTAATTTGCTGTACAATCTTGACACACTACCTACAATTTCCATATCTCACTTAAAAGTAAGACTTCTTCATTTTCATTTTGTTCCAGAAAAGCAAAAAGGGTGTTACCTTATAAAAATGATTCCATGCAGTAAGAACACTGAATAGTCAATACAGAAACACACACCTTATAATGCTCACATATACAGATACACAAAGAGAAAGAAAAAGAACATGGTTATTTTGTAAATATGTTTACAAAGTATAAATGCAAGCATATTAATTCCAAAGGTGACTTAAAATAATTATACCAAGTACATTTTTGTATAATCACACCATAAACATGACAGGACACCAAAAAACAACAAGTACAAACCCTGTTTAAAACGATTTTATTATAACAAGGATCTTAATAGCCCTCTTGATTAGAATTGTGAGACATAATTCTCAAATAAAGCTAAAACCCAGGAAAAACGTATTTTCACGTACAGTACAATATAATTATGTATTATATTAAAATGTTACGGCTTTCACATTAGACATGCAGTATAAACTCACTTTTAAATGTCTTCCAAAACTACTTGAATAGTATCTAAGTAGGCAACACGAAAAGATAACCTAGTTCCTTTTTCCATCAAATTCTATTACTTTTAATTTTGTTTCACCTAATTAAAATTTGACTTTTTCAAACTTAAGTGTATTTTATGATACAAAGCTATACTTAATATGTTTAAATAAGGCAAGAAAAACAAAACTCAAAATATTCTAAAACAAAAATTCACCCAATATGCTTGAGTTACTGTGTACCCTGGAAAAAATTTAACATAGTAATAGCACAAGGCAGTAGTGTAATGCTGTCATCTATCTGATTCTATCCAATGAACACAGCAATTTCTAAATAGGTTTTGCAGAAAAAACTTTAAGAAATTACAAAAATAGGTCCATTTTGTATTCAAGAAAGACAAATATCAAGCACCTGGTATAAAGAATACTGTAAGGCTTTTTAAAAACACTTCATGAACTAAAGTCATTTATGAGTAATTAACTAAAGCCTTTTCCGTAACTTTTCCTTAGACAAGGCCAAAATACATTTCATAAAAGTAAAACAGTAAATGGCACAAACATCACTTAAATGCCCTTAACTGGAGCAACTTTCCGTTTTTGTACCTTTTTTCTCTATTCACTGTATTCTGTAGGGCACATTTTCAAACTGAAGTTGTTCCTAGTTTAATCTACCACGATCTCCTTGTCACTATTGAAACAAGAAAGATCTTCAGAAGCAAACTAAACAAAACTCAGAGGGGTGGGGCAGGGAGAAGGGGCGCGAGGTGGCGCCAAGAACAGAGAAAAACAAGGTAAAGAGAGTTGTTTCCTTAAGGCTCTAAGGTTACTTCCCAACTCCAAAGGCTCTAAGGTTACTCCCCAACTCCAAGATTCACTCGCAGAGGGTAGAGCAAGCTGATGCTCCGTCCACTCCTTGCACAATACAGTTTCCCTTTCCACTGCTCCCCAGGAACAGCTGCCTCCCCAAACTGCACCGCACAAACACCCTGCCGAACCCCGCCGCCAGACCAACCTGCTGGACAGGGGCTCCGGGCCGACGAGTGCCCCCTGGAAAGTACGCGCGCCAGGAAGCCCACAGCCAGGCTGGGAGTCCCACGTCTCCCGCCACCCGGCACGCACCACAGTAAGAGCCCCAAGTCCAGAAGTTTGAAGCAAAACCAGTCAGTCCCCACCGCAAGGAAGACAGGATCGCAACGGGGCTGAGAGGTGGAGAGGGCGAAGTGTCCGCGCGCAGGGAAGGTCCATCACCTGACAGCCAGAGGACCAGAGCCTACCGGGCATTCGCGAACAGGGGCCGGGAAGGTGCCGCTGCCATGGCAACGCCCCCCCATCCGTCCAGACTTCCAAAGAGGGAGGAAGAACTTCAAATCCCAACCGTCAGCGCTCGAGCGGCTCCTTCTTAAAGGGGTATGCACCACACCGCCGCCGCCGCCGCCTAGCGCGAGAGGGCAGAGTAGGGCGCCCCCCGCCCCTCGGGCGACGCCCCCCGCCGCCCCTCGGCCCCCTGCCTCTCGCCCGCGGCCCCGGCCCCGCGAGCGCCTGAGTGTCCCCCGGGCACTGGTTCCCGGGAGCCCGGCCGCGTCTGCCACTCGGCCCCCGGCGGGGCGAAGGGGGTGTGTGTTCTCCGGTGGAGGCGCGTAGCTGCCTGTTTCCCCGCCGCCGGCCGCGGGTTCCGCTGCGCCCGGCCGCTCCCTGCTCCTGCCCGGCGACCGCGGGTGCCGAGGAGTTGCGGGGCCCGGCGAGCGCACGGCCGGCTTCCCGGGGGCTCGGCGAGCGGATCCGAACCAACAGTTCTCGGGGAGACCCTGGAGCCGGGCAGGCGGGCGACACAGAGCGGACCGCGCCAGCAGAGTCCCCGAGACAAAAGGCGAGCGCCGGGGCCGCCGCTCCCATCGCGCTCCCAGCCGGACCGACCCGAGCCGGAGCCGAACTGAAGCCTCAGACACAAACTCCTCGGGCTGTAGCAGCTGTCGCCGCGCGCAGTCCGGGGCCCCGGCCCGTGTCTCTCTTACCTACACAGTGCATGAGGCGGTGGCGCCAAGAGTCGAGTTCCCGCCGGAATCCTCTCCTCTCCGCCGCGCACCGAGGGCTCCTACACTGAGCGGCGGCGGCGGCAGCAGCGGCGGCGGCGGCAGCGGCCATTCTCTCTCTTCCCTTGTCCATCTGCGTCCCGCGTCACGCGCCCTCATTTACATACGAGCGGCGCAGGCACGAGGCAGGGGCGCGAGCCCTCGGCGCGAGCCCCGGAGCGCGCGCCCCCCGGAGGGGGGTTGATTGACACGTGTCACTACCTTCCCTCGGCCCTTCCCTCCCCCTCCCACCGCTCCCTCGAGGAGAGGCGGGGAGAGAGCGCGAGGAGAAGGAAGCAACCTGCCGCTTCCGCTGACCCCGCCTCCCCAGCCACTCCCCCCCCCCTCCCCCCGAGTTTACTCTTGCAAGCCATACTGCTCCTGCAGCCCGCGAAAACCCTGAGCGGGAGCGAAAGACCCAGAGCCGGCCAGGAACCCGCGTGCTAAGGGAGCGCACTGGCAACGCCTCCCTTCTGCCGTGGCGACGGGTTCTGGCCACCCGGAAACTTCATGTCCCATGCCCCTTTGCGCCCTAATTCCCAAGTGGAGCATGGGGCTGTCAAGCGGTGCACGCTGGGTATTGTAGTCCAGCAGCGGGGCGCGCTCTCCAGTCTTTGCACGCTGGGTGAGGTGCTCCAGAGGTGAGCTGAGACTGTGTGCTGTCCGCCTAGCCCTGTCCTACCCCGCAGCTTTAGCTTCCACAGTGCCGCGAAAGAAGAGTCCAGGGTTCGCCTCGTGTTTTAAGCACTGGAAACTTTTCCAGGTCCCTGTCATCTCGCCACTCTCCTCGGAAAGAGCGGGTCAGTCATTTGGCTGCATGTCAGGTAACTTTAAGGAACACACAGTGACTTCAGTTTTCCAGGTGAAGAGATCTCGGAAAACGAGAAATTTGCAAGGATTAGGGAAAAGATGTGCTTTTCAAAGGAAAATAATTTTTTTTTTTTTTATGGAGGCTCGGGTATAGCTGGTTGGAAACTTCAGAAGTGAAATTTTTTATGCTACACGAGATGTAGTCTTAGAGGACAGAGACATAACTCAGACTGCTGTGCCTTCGCATGTCCGATAGTTCCACCCTGTGCGCCTACATTTGCACGGCATGGACTTTAGCACTTTTCAGTTATTAGGGAATGAAGTCTGTGTTATGCTGGAAAAAATACCTGGAAGAAGGGTGATCTTTGGGTTAAATAACATCTTCAATTACACTTTTACTTTATGCCACAGCAATTGTGCATTTACTGTATTTCTGTAAGTTACAAGGGGCCAAGCTGCAGCTAAGCCCTTAGTGAAGTTTGCCGAGAAGTGCTGCGTACTTCTGCGTACTGGGGATTTATGCACCAGACTGAGAGAAATATGTTTGAATTCTTCGTGGAAACTTGTTAAGTCTTGAGTTATATACCATCGTCCCTGTGTTGTATCTTGTCTTTATCCGACATCTTTCCTAAGACCCCCATGAGAAAATATTTCATTGTTCACCATTACCTGAGTAGTGAAGAGAAAATATCACATCTTCATAAAGTTAGTTTTTAAGTGAAGTTTCAAATCGTCTAGACTGGTTACAGTTGAAAGCAGATTAAAATCACTTATTGTAAGTGCTTTTGGAACTGTCGGTAGTAGATGGTTTCAGTTACGAATTAGACTCAGAATTGTCTTTGTAGCATCATGTTTGTAATAATCTACATTAGTTAGAATAGAACAGGTTATGGTGCAGTAACAAAAATCCAAAAATCTTAGGGGCCTTAAAAATAATAAACCAAACTCATTTTCTGCTTATCCATATCTTGTGTAGTGAGGGAGTTCATTCCAGCAACTGAATTCCTAGGGTGGTGCTTTGGCTAAATCTTGTCCCTGGTTTGGTAGGTAGAAGGAAAATCCAAAATGGTAAACTGATTTTTCCTAAAAGTGAATGAGCCAATTTTACCTATATTTCCATATTGACCAAAGCAAATCATATAGTTATGACTGTCTTCACGGAGTAGAAAATGTATAATTCTAAGAATTTCCCGGAAAAAAAAGATGTATTGGTGAGTAGCACCAAATCTTATTGCAATCTATCCTTCTAGTCATGGATTTACAGTTCACTTTTTTTATAATACAAAGTACATTCACTTCTTTCCCATGCGAGACAATTCAAAAGGTCTGTTTAGTAAGGCATTAATATTAAAGTCTGGCATCATTGGGTGATGCTTAGTCGTCTGTATATTAAAACTGGTTAAAACTTATCTTGTTATGGAGATTTAAGAAGGCATAGTATCTGTCCTCCCCACTTACACACACACAGATACACATGCACACACACTCACACTCAGAACCAACATACAGTAGTGAGATGGGGCAAAGCAACTTTAATATTTTAGTTCATACAGAATACCAGAGACTGGCTGATTTATAAAGAACAGAAATTTATTTCTCACAGTTCTGGAGTCTGAAAAATCTAAAACAATGGTGCTGGCATCTGGCAAGAGACATCATGTCATGCAGAAAGGCAAAGAGGGCAAGAAATTTAAAGAGAGCAGAACCCACCTCCCCTTTTATAACAAACACACTCCAGAGACAACAAATCCATTTACTCCACTCTGAAGGCCTACTCACTTCTCACTATTTTTTTGGTGAGACATACTCAAAACAATAAGGTAAACACTGCTACTTAGAAAAAGGGAAAATAAGAGATGTATATCAGATATTTACCAGATGTTTTACCATAGTTAACATCAGTTTCCAACTTTGCAGCCTCCAACAAGTTTCTCGGCTGGGATTGCTAATGCTGGGTACTGCAAAATCTAGTTTGGACTCATCCACTACACCTGTAAAGTTATGGCTACATATTTTAAATTTTTGCTTATAATTCTGTAACCTTCTGGTACCAATTTCCACATTAGAATGGCCCAGTTTCAAAAACTTAAAATCTCAGTGGTTTAAATACAAAGTTTGTTTCTCACTACACTGTCTGTCAGTGTGAAAGTAAGTGGGGAGAACTGTTCCTTGTCCATTCAGGACCAGGCCTTGTGCAGCTCAGTCATCTAGAAACTCTCCAGTCACTGTGACAAGAGAAAGATGATGCAGAATCATGGTCCAGTGCTTATGGCCTCCAAAGAAGACATAGTTCCGTGGATGAAGCAAATTATAAGACCAGGTCTAGTTTTAAGAAAATGATATGCTAGCAAACTACCCCAAAACTCAGTAGTTTAATATAGCAACTATTATATGATACTATAGAATGATAATTTGTGCTAGAATCAATGGACATTTCTGCAGGCTTCTTGAGCTCACTTGGGTGTTCGTGGTTACCTGCTTGTCAGCTAGACAACTCTTATTTCTGAAGGTTAGCTGACTGTCAGCTGGGACAACACAGCCCAGTATTCCTCATCCTCAAGAGGTTAGGCTTCTTCATATTGTGGTTACCACAAGTCCACAAGCAGTAAGAGATCAAGCCCTAATCCTTAAGTGTTTTTCAAGTGTCGGATTGGGTCATATCTGCAGAAGTCCCAGTCGCTAATTGGCTAAAGCAAATCACATAACCATGCCTGTAGTCAATATGGGGAAATAGATTCTTCTTCTTCTCAGAAGGATCTGCATGTTACCTTGCAAATGAGTATAGATAGAGGCAATGACATAACTTGTAACCACTTTTACTGCCTATTGCAGTTGGGAAAATGCAATATTATCATATTCTCTTAAAGAAGAAGAAATAGAAATATAAACAGAACTAATGACTATAAAATTTCTAGAATTTCTCAGAGGAAAAATGAAAAACATAAAGGGAGTTAACATTGGAATTCAGTTGCATTTAAAAAATAAAGAACTTTTCATGGAAACTATGACAGCATAGGATAATCACTTCACAAACATACAAATAGGAATTTAGCTGATAAATCATTTCATTCTAATCATCTAGTACTGAGCTAGTTATTTAATTTGTTTCTAAGTTTTATTTATTTGTTTTTATTTGAGATATCTGTTAACTCAGAGAAAAAAAGAGAATCATATCCAAGTTTGTTTCCTGCACCAAAAAAGGTTACAAGGGATTTGAATATAACAACAGATATATGGTAAGAAATGTTAATATGCTTCACAAAGATGGTTTTGCTCTGCTATCTACATCCTGTATGTGTTATATCTCTTGTTTATTGCTGTGTAACATACCAATCCATACCATAGTGCTTAAAAGAACTATTTGTTATTACTCTCAAGTCAGGATATCTGTTCTGCCCATATGGCAAGGTTCTACATATCTTGACTGGGATTGCTAATACTGGGAACTAAAGAGCTAAGCTGGCCTCATGTTAGTATGGTGGGCAGTTTGGTTCTCTGTGTGCTGGGGAAATAGGAATAACTCTTCATAGAGTCATGTGTCTTTTATCCAGAAGATAGCTAGAGTTTGCTTATTTACGTAGTGGCAGCATGTGAGGCACGACAGGGTAAATACTGTGTCAGTGCTTTTCTTATTTGTGTAGTGTTTGCTTGCTAGTATCCTCTTGGCCAAAGCAAATCACAAAGATAAGCCAAAAGCCTCAGTGGTTGGTTACTAATTGTTTTAGTCACTTTCTCTCCTGGTGTAACACAGCACCTGATGCCCACAATTTAAAGGAGAAGAGGTTTATTTTGGCTCCTGTTTTCAGTTCATAGTCTGCTGGCTCAGAGGAAGAAAGGCAAAGTGGAAGATCCTGGGTAAAGGAAAATTGCTTATAATATCGATCCAGCCAGTGCAAGGAGGAGCCAGGAAGGAAAAAGTGCACTTCCAGGTCACACTCTCAGGAACCAGCCATTTCTGACCTAACCCACCTCCTAATAGTAAGTCAGCTATAGTGGCTCCATGGTCCAATCCTATTCTGAAAGCCTCACCTATAAATATATGAGAGCTTTTGGGAACAGTCTATTGTTTTTAAAGCAAAACAGAAAAAAGGGTAGAAATAATACAGAATTTTTAGAAAAAT